GGGTATAGGGATGCATGCCTGTAATCTTAGCACTCAGGAGGCAGAAGCAGGTGGATCAGAAGTTCAACATCATTTTCTGTCATAGCCAGGTGGTGGTGGCACACGCCTTTAGTCCCAGCCCTTGGGAGGCAGAAACAGAAAGATTTTTGTGAAGCCAGTCTTGTCTACAGATTGAGTTCCAAGACAGCCAGGGCTACACAGAGAAACCCTATCTCAAAACAAACAAACAAACAAACAAACAAACAAAAATACCTCTGTCATAAGAAGTAGGTGACTAACCTACGTGGTGATCGCCTCATCACTACAATGTGGTAGGATATTATTTTAAGGTGTGTTACTTTTGTTTATGCTGTGAAACATTTGTTTAATGAGGTAAAGATGTATCGCTTTTATTTATGCTGCATTTGTTTGACTCTGTGAACCTATGATTCTTTACCTGTCTAAAACACCTGATGGTCTAATAAATATAATAATGTCTAATAAAGAGCTGAACGGCCAGTAGCAAGGCAGGAAAAAGGCTAGGTGGGGCTGGCAGGCAGAGAGTAAATATAGAAGGAGAACTCTGGAGGAATAAGGAGGAGTAAGAACACAGAAAGGAGGATGGCAGGGGTCAACCACCCAGTCACCCAGCCAGCCATGGAGAAAGAGGGAAAGAAAGACATACAGAAGAGAAGGAAAAGGCCCAGAGGCAAAATGTAGATGGGATAAGTTAAGAAAAGCTGGGAAGAAACAAGCCAAGCTAAGGCCAGGCATTTATAAGGAATAGTTAAGCCTCTGTGTGTGATTTATTTGGGAACTGGGTGGTGGGCCCCACCAAGGAGTAAAAAAAAACAAAAGGCAAAAAACCAAAGACCTAAAAGTAAAAAAATGTAAAACAATCAACATCAGAACTATATCTCAAGTTATTTATTTTTAAATTTTTACTATATATATAGGTTTGTTTGTGTGTATTCAGCTTCTCTTGGAAACTGAAAGAAGGATTTAGGTCTGTGGAAGATGAGGCTATAGTTGAGATACTCAGTGTGGGTACCAGGAACCCAACTCAAGTTATATCCAAGAGTATAAAGCCTTCTCTCCAACCCCCAAAATATTAAATACTCATGTGAAGACTGCCATATCATGGCAAAGATATAGACAGTGTAATAAGAAATTTTGTTGTTATTGGTTTTTGAGACAGGGTTTCTTTGTGTAGCCTTGGCTATCCTGGAACTCACTCTGTAGACCAGGCTGGCCTCGAACTCACAGAGATCCACTTGTCTCTGCCTCCCAAGTGCTGGAATTAAAGACCTGTGCCACCACTGCCCAGCTAAAATTTTTCTTAATGTATAAATATTATTTTAAAATTTGTAAGATGAATATATAAATGTATTCAAACTTCCTGTCATGATATTAATGGTCATATAGAGTACTGATTCTAGAATAGGTTTCATCTAGCTTCCTGTGCATGATTTCAGGTTTGAGTCTGAATCAGGTAACTAGAAATTAAATTTGTGTACCCTGGATGTATTTAATAGATTGTGGTTCTTTGATCTCTCTGAGATCTACTGCTTATGATATTTAAAATGTTTAAGTTTTCTCAAGTGAACTGTGACCATTTCTAACAGCAACCTTTGGAGTCTCTCTGAAAGGTTGATGAAGCCCCACAACAATGATTCCACTTGGATTGTGGTAAAGCCATTATGTCGACAAACACCACCCAAAGGTCTACCTTGGACTAAAAACCACTCAGGGCATTTTCAAGGTCAGCTCCAGGGGATCTTGTGTCCTCTTTGGCTTCTTTGGCATCCGTATTCACATTGCACACATTCACACACACAGCACATGCAGAAGATAAATCCTCAAAGGAATTCAAAATTAGAGATGAAAAAGGAGTCCTTTCAACGGAGATCAATGAAATCTAGAGGCTTGTTCAAAACACTTTTACATCTTTTTATTCTAGTTGAAAATACATAAAAGAAATATATAAGTTTCTAGACACATATGACTGACCAAACTTAAATTAAGAGGATATAAACTAAATAGACCTATAGTGAAAAATGAGCTTGAGGCAATACAGTATCTCCCAACCAAGGAGTCCTGTGCGATACTTAAAGAACCAACAGTGTCTCTCAAACTATTCCATAAAATAAAAAGGGAAGGTGTACTACCAACTCAGTCTAAAAATCCAGTATTAGCCTCATAATAACTGTTCTAAAACCTAGTTTGATATCAGATGTAGATAAGGAGGGACAGAGAGGTGGCTCAGCAGGTAAAGGTGCTTGTTGCCAACTCTGAAGACCTGCATTTCCTACAGTAAGACCCTGTTTCAAAACACAAAACAACGGAACAACACAAAACCCCCAATCCAAACCAAAACACAAAAAGAAAAAAAAAACCCATTACATTATATCTACTGAATATTTATGATTAATTATGAACCTATGGATTAGCATGCATTTATAAAAATGTGTAGATCATCAGATATTTGACTAATATTCCTACATCAAAGTCTTTTTACTGTCGAGTATTTATACAAGTTCATACTTTTCACAACTGAATTGCCAAATATACAGCACACGATTTAAACTGGCAAGCTGAAGCTAGGCATGGTTGTATACATCTGTAATCCCAACACCTGCATACAAGCAGGCAGGATTGAGAGTGTGAGGTCTGTCTGGGTTGCACAGCAAGACCCTGCCTTGAAACAACAAAAATAACAGCATATCATAGTAATTATCTATGATGCTATGATACATAAAACGTGAAGAAAATTTTGTATTTCATTTCAAAAGGAAATTCTGATTGATGAAAACTTCCAACAAGAAATACTACATCGAGGCTGGAGAGATGGCTCAGTGGTTAAGAGCACTGGCTGCTCTCCCAGAGGTCCTGAGTTCAATTCCCTCCAACCACATAGTTGCTCACACTATCTGATGGGATCTGATGCCCTCTTCTGATATAAAGTCCAAAGCACACTCATATACATAAATAAATCTTTTTTTAAAGTTACACAATGGGCTTGTTAGATGGCTCAGCAGTTAAGGACACTTGTCTGTGGGCGCATATTCTGATATGCCACAAAAGCCATTGCCCCGGTTTGAGCTGATACTTAGCTCTGCAGACAAGCTGTCTGCCCTTAACAAAAGCCAGGATGCCTTGCTCCTAGCTTCCTTTGTTAAAGTGTGGATTACCTGAGAAGAGGTGTTGACTGAAACTGGTCAGGATGTTTGGGGTTTCTTTCCTTATGCAATTTGAAGGTTATCTTATAGAGATGCTAATTCAGAATCTACCTGGCTGCTAGATGCAGACGTGACTAAAGTCCAGGCACCTGGTTGCCTAGGCAACAGCCTTTGTGTGTTCCCGCTCATTTGGGATGGATATATAAGATGTTGGGACAATAAACGGGGATTCTGGCCTTTTCCAAGATGACCGTGTAAGTTGTGTCTGATTATTCCTCGCGACTCCTTTCCAGTCTAGTTAGAGAATCTGTGTTGGACCCAAACGGGCTCCGACACTTGTCACCAATGGTGATGACCTGAGATCAATCCCTGGGACCCACATGGTGGAACAAGAACCAACTCCCATAGGCTGTCTTCTGACCTCCAAAACATGCACCATGGCATGCCTCAACCCACACAAATAAATAAAACCTAAAGTACTGCACCCCTATTTTAAAAATAGATTTCAGAGGATATTATATACATTTGAAAGCCTTTTATTCTTTTTTTAAAAGATTTATTTATTATGTATACAGTGTTCTGCCTGCTTGTATGCCTGCAGGCCAGAAGAAGGTATGAGATCTCATTACAGATGGTTGTGAGCCACCATGTGGTTGTTGAAAATTGAACTCGGGACCTTCGGAAGAGCAGTCAGTGCTCTTAACCTCTGAGCCATCTCTCCAGCCCCCAAAAGCCTTTTATTCTTATGTGAATAAAGTTTCTGTCTTTTCTTGCCGGGGGTGGGAGTGAGAAGAAAATAAGCTGATATTTCTTGCATTTCAAGGACTCTTCAATGGCATCTTTAATATGCGACAAACAGTTTATGTGGTTTCCTCTCTTGCTTTCACAGATGTCTAAAAATGCTCCTAGTTTGTCATCAACCCTAATTAGGTGATCTTCATGCTCAGCACAAAGCTCCTCCACCGACTGGACACACTGGCTCGTCACAACTGCATTCAAGCATGCATGTGCCTAAGGCCTTGGCAGCTCTGCGTAATTCCCATGCTGAGCCACCTTGGATGAGTGCTACTGGAATGGGGGGTGAGAACATGAGTCAAAGAATCTCAAGCTAAGCCCAAAAGATTTTAATTATATATTTATTTATTTATTTATTTATTTATTTTGGANGCCACCACCGCCCGGCCTAATTATATTTTTTTATTATAAGGGGCAAACTCACGGAACAGGAACGAGAAGTCCAACCTCCGTGTGTAATGCAGGAATGAGAGAGAGAGAGCGAGTGAGCAGTGGGTTATGGGTGAACACACATGTCTCTACGTCCTGCTCAGCAGAGCATGAGGGCATCAGGCTGTGTTCAACATTTCTAACTACTGGGTATATTTTTAAAAAAATGAGCAAAATAATGCCACCTTTTCCGGGAATAAGTTAAAAAAAAATACAATTCACTAACCATCCTTAGACTAGACCACGAGTTCCATCTACCTCAGTTATGTATTTTTTCCACCTTTTCCTGGACACATGGCCACCTGGAATGAATGCTGTATTTTGCAGTTAGGGAAGGCACTGACTAGTTTTTGGCTAATGGTATTTAAACAGAACAGCTTGGTACAATTGGAAACTATCCTTAAACAAAGGGTTACAACCCCACTGCCCTGGTTCTCGCTGGCCAGAATGTTTGTTGTGAGGGTATTGACTGGAGCCAAAAGCTGAGGTTGGTTAAGCAACAAAGTGCCCTTAAATATCACCAGAATTCCTTAAAGAGGAAAACCCCTCTCATTTCTACAGGTACTAACATTGGGGGTTTAGTTTTATGTTAGTGAGCCCAATCTTAACTAATACACATTTCAATGGTTGGCACATTACTCCTTTATTAGAAATTGTAAATGAGAAATTATTTCAACACCTGAAGACCAAACTACAACAGCAGATTCCATAGGCTCAAGATTTTGAGACATTCTGGCAAGAGTCCTATGTAGAGTATACCCTTTCCGTGGCATGGCAACATCATTTTTCCTTAAAAAGGTCACTGGACAGACATCATTTCCACCATCTCCTATATAAACGATCCGTGCATATCTCACTCCCTTCTCTAACTGTTTATCTATAAATTCTACCAAAACTGCATTTTTGCAAAGGTTCTTTGGACACCTATTGCAAGAATGAGCATGGCAATTTTTCACTGTGAGACGACCACTGTTATCAAAAGCTGCTGGATTAGTAAACACGTTATCAAAGACATCGTGAAAATCGGCAGCTTCTAAAACCCAATCTATGAAGACTGAGTTTGAGTCTGAAATAATGATGCAATCAAATTTATCCTTATTCATCCTTAGAAAGCCGAAAAGCTCCACCATCCCTGAAGTGAAAGGCATGGATATCACTGTTCTTCTCATTTCATCCTCTTTCACCCCTTCATCTCCCAGATACTTAAAGACTCTGCCCATAAATTCTGTCCAGAACCCCTTCTGGTAAGAATCTTGCAGTTCCATGGGAAGCTTTTTGTCTGGAGCACACTGTACAATCCGGGTGTCACTATTGTCATCTATGATTGTATTGTCGAAGTCAAACACCAGCAAAACTTTCATGGTTCCAGTAAGAGATTTGGGTTACCCTGCAGAAGAAGAAATATTATCCCTAACCATACTGTGTTTACATATCCATTACACTTATTTAGGATCAGAAGTAAATGTTAGCCTGCTAAGAGCTAGGGGTGGTTGTACACGCTGTCATCTTGGCACTTAGGAGGCTGTTTTAGGACTACCATTTATTTTCCTAAGATAAGTGCCACACTTTATTAGCTTATAATATTTGTAATAATCCTCATGTCAAGTAACAGGCCATAATATGTTATGAATAGTCTATATACTAACAAAAATTCTGAACAAATTTAAGTTCATGTAACTTTATAAAGTATAAAATATTTTTTAAATGGCTTTCAGATCAAACTCAATGTCAGAATTTGACTAAATGATTGGTTAATGCTACACCTGAAATATGGAAGTCAACTCAATTCTCCAAAATTAGTTTGACTTCTGTTAAAGGTTTTGACACATTTATTTGCATTTTCTCTAAATCATTTAGTCTTGAGGTACCAAGACTAAATTTAACTTGAGTAAACATACCACATATGACAGGACAGATGTTTTTGTTTTCTTTAGAATGGAAATGATTAACTTATAAATCTCCAAAAGAAATGGAAATACTAAGTTTCATAATAACAGTTATTATGGGTGAAAACTATCACACTAAAAAAATAGTAATCATAGAGAATTCAAAGAAAAAGATAAAATTGATACATGTAAACAAACAAAAAAGAGACGAAATATTTTTGAAAGACCACTCAAACATCTCATCTAATTTTAATATCCTACTACATACAATTGCTGTCACTCGCATCTTAAAGATCTGTAAAGCGATTATTAAAGAGGTGGAATTGTGGGCTCTGGTCAGCATGGCTCCAGTTTTACGTTTTTGAGTACAGTATTCTAGGTCTGGTTGGTGGCAATGCCTTTCCTTTAGCCTTGGCAGACAGAGACAGGAGTGTCTTTGTAAGCCTGGTTCACATAGCCAGTTTCAGGACCCCAAAAAACACAAAACCAAACACAATTAATTAAATACAAAAGTTTAATGCCTAAGAAATAAGATGTTAAAGCTATTTACTAATTTATTTCTTTGAGACAGGGTCTCACCATGTAGCCTTGACTTGCCGAGAATTCTCTATATAGAAGTCTGCTTGGAACTAATAGCAATTCACCTGCCTCTTAAGTACTGAGATTAAGCATGTGCCACCACATCTATTCATTGCTTTAAAATAAACACCAAGTAGGTAACTTGTGTTTGTTTTGTGTACCCCTGGCTGTCTTGGTAGAGGAGGTTGGCCTTGAACTCCACCTGCCTCTGCCTCCAGAGCGCTGGGTACCACCCCTGCTCTCTTAACTCTTAGAAGAGCACAAGAGTGAAATAAACACACATTCAAGGTTGATCTAAGAGTATTTTTTTCTCAATTTTAGAATTTCCCATCTTTTAAATGTATTTTTTATTAAAATGACTTACCTAAGATGGCACTTGCAGTCCAATTAATCTTATTTCAGCACAGAGCTTAGGTCATTAACATCTTTAATTTGCCAGCTGTCTTTACACATTACTCCATTTCTGTATGCAGATAAATTGATCTGATGTACAGCGAAGGAATGGACACTTCTTAACTCCTAGAATTAATAAAGTGTTTTAAAAGCTTAAGTTTTACACTTCCTAATTGACTCCCTTTTCCTCATATCAAAAAAAAAAACATGTACTGGCAATGAAGAAACAAAATTTGATCATACACATAAATTTGAAATAAAAACAAAAAAGAGACTATCATAAGGAAATATCTGATCTAGTTAATAAAATCACAAGTGTCAATTGGATTTCATCATTTCAGGTTTTCTTGTTAAAAGGGAAACACATACTTTATTATCAATAAATATAGAGATACTAACAACATATTGAAAATAAAAATTACAAAAATTAGGGACCCTTGTCTGGTGGTGCAACTTCAGTTCTAGGGACTTTAACTGAACTCACGATATCCACACACACTAAATAAATAGGCAAACAAATAAATAAGGGGCTGGAGAGGAGGCTCAGCTGTGAAGGCCCAAATCTGAGTGGCTAACCATCACCTGCAACTCCAGCTCCAGAGGGGTATGACAGCTCTGGCTTCTTCCAGCACCCTCACTCATGTGCACACACCCTCACATAGACACATGTCCAAACACACACATAATTAACTATAGTAAACACAGCTTATGTGAGAACCGCAGGGTCTTAACAAGTGGTTCGATGGTTAGTTTTCCTTGTTACCTTGTGTTAAAAATGTCTACATATTAATTTAAATTCTGCTTCCAATTAGGATACAAATGCTACCTTCTTTCAATTTACCACAACAAAACTCAGGGCAATGGAGGCGGAAACCAAGTAACCAACTCTAGATCAGCTTGTATGTAAAGACTGTAGGCTGGAGGAGCAACTAGGAGTTTAAAGTCAAATATCAGACCTTTTCAAATTATAAAATTACTGACATTTTATGAAGTCCAGCAAATGCAACAAATTTAGTTAAAGTACTGAGGGTTTTCATCGACAGACGTGGCCTATACTGCTTCTGTCTTCTCTGTAATGTACTCCATGCCCCACAGCTTCGAGGAGGCCCCGACAGGGAACATTAGAAGGCATGCATCCTTTCCTATAACGCAACACATATCACATTCACGTGACTTCCTGCCAACTCTACATCACCCTATGGGGACAGGGGCTCAGAAAAATTAAGGCACAAATTTGCTGAGGTTGCAGCTACCGCTGTAATTCATTGATCCCTCACTAGGCGTCGCGGGTCTCATGCACAACTATGCAAGCTGCTGTTTCTAATACAGAAAATGCCCCGACCTTTGTAATTCTCGTCACGCTTTAAGCTAAGCTTCCAAATCACTCGTATGCACACAAAGTTCTAGTACTCCTTTCGTACTTACCAGCATTATTACAGTGGAATATCTGACAGAAAAACTGAAGCGAGACAGCATAACTGTGTGTTAGAACTTTCATTATTGAAAATCTTGTTTTCATTGTGAGGGGCAGCAAATGCGGCTTAACTGATAGTCCAACTACTTAGGAATGAAATCATTTGTACATCGGTGGGTCAGAAAAGCCTCTTTAGAGATCCATTGCCAGCCTACTTGAACTTATTTTGGTGTCATGAGCAGTCGCTTCCAGGCACACTAATTATAATTTACCAAGCAGTTTAATAGCTATTAAAGGTCTTAACGTGAATGTCCTGGGGACAACATTCACGCTTTAATAGTCCTACGTAATAGCAATAGAGAGGGTCTCATCTAGTCCTGGCCAGGCCGTACAAACCAAATAATTAAAAAAAAAATAATTTATGTCCCTCAATCCCCGGGGGTTCTGTGGTCAAGCGGGTTCTGTCCTTCACCTCAGCCCGCGAGGAGCAGTGCGGGAGCTCGCAGCGAGCCTTGGCCTCGACTCCTACACCGGCCGTCTCCCCACTAGCACAGCGGGTGCGGAAGGGGACACCGGCCTGGCGGAACCGAGGACTCCTCACTGACCCAGGCCCGGGTTGCAGCCGGCAGCCAACATCCGTTCCAGCATCCGCCGGTTGGTCCTCGAGCCAGACGGAAGCACCGGATCGCGAGCGCCGATTCAGCCCCGCGGCTCTGCACCGCGCAGGCGCCGCGCCTGACCCGCCGCTCTGCACCGCGCACGCGCACTTCCCGCTCTTCGATTTCCCTCGCACGGCCGCGGACGGGGCGCCTTCCTGGCTCCGCGATGGCAACAACGTCACTTCCGGCGTGGTTGCTAAACAACCAAACGGTTTGGCAACAGTTCCTCTGCTGAAGTTGGCGTGGCAACAGTCTCCTCACCGGGTCTGCTCTCCCGGAGCTCAGCTAGTTAGAGATGCAGGTGCGCTTTGGGCGGCGCTCCGGACGGACGAAGAGGAGCACAGGTGAGCTGCCGTGGCCCCTTCCGGAGCTGGGATTGTTTCTCGAACAATCTAGGGTAACAAGTGAGAGCTTCGGTTGCCTTTTGAAATGGGCTTTGCCAAGTCGAAAGCATTTCCAGCAAGTATCCTTGGAAGTTAGTCAGGTTTGGCCTTCGGATGAATGAGTGGAATGAGAACTGAGGCGTGCATAGTAGAAAATTCACAGGAATGGGGGTAGAAAAAGCAGAAAGTTAGACGCCCTCCCAACCCCCCAAACTGCCCGGCACGTCCGATATAAGAGTCTGCGGGTTCTTAAGCTTTGTTATTCGTTGAGTAAATTTTGGAATGCCGTTTGGAAATGTTATTGGCTTATTAAGTCTCCATTCTGTTTCAGACTTGCAGAGTAGCTCAAGGAATTAACTCTTTCCACTCTAAAGTTAAAACCCACCCCAAGTCAAATGCTTTGGTAGTGTAAAAAATATGGTACGTAAAGTAAGGTGACATAAGATTTGATTTTGTCATACATGTGGGAAAGTAGGATTCTTTAAAAAAAAATCTTTTATCAAGTCCAACCACAAGTTTAATTGTTGTCATGGTAACTGTTATGGTAGATTCTTGGAAATTTGAACCTTCTTCATGTTTTGCCTGAGCTCAGTAGCAGTGGCGCCGCCCCCACTCCAGAGGACCTGAGTGACTGACTACCTGTTCAGTGAGAACATTACATTCTTACCCAAGTTTACACATGAAGGAAATCACCAAAGATTCCATCAATTTCCTCTGATTTCATAAAGCCTTGTGTTTTTTCCCCTCAGCCATTCTTAAGTCACACATGTGAGGCAGTTTCCAGACACCACTCCACTACAGACATATCTGAGAAAAAAAAAAAAAAACTTTTCCCGGACAAACGTTTAACCTACTGTTTAATGCGACAGGAATGAACTCTGAAAAAGAAGAAATTCCCTATCCACCTCTCCTGCCTGGCAAGGTAGATCTCCAGCAGGTCACCATAATCCCACATGCCGAGTGGGAAAGGATTCGGGATAGCCTCGGCAGGCTGACGAGAGAAGCGGCGGCCCTTCGTGCAGAAAGAACAGCAAAGAAGAAGATGCATGTCCAGTCCCAGGAACTGGTAAAACACTGGACCAACACATATGCAGTAAGTATCAGCCCCCTAGAAGACGCATGCTTTGAACACTACCTGTGGCTTCTTAGTAGTGTCTTGTACCTTTTTTGAATCATTTGATGTTCAAACTTCATAAATACAATGGCACAAGGTTTCAAGATTTTTTAAGTAACATACTACTGTAAATGACACAATTAAGGTAAACGTTTTGTTAAAATTTGGTACATTTATGCCTCCAAAACCATCATTACAGTTAGCATAATGAACATATTCATTGCCTAAAAGTTTCCACTGTTTAAATCCTTGTCACTCCTAATAAATTATAGGTCACCACTCATCTACTATTTATTATTAGAGATTTTACTCCACAGAATCTGAGACTTCGTTATGCTGTTAAATATACTCTTTGTATTGCTGAGTAGTAGTCTAGTGTTTGATACAGTAAGTTTATTTATCTGGTCACTTGATGGCATGGAACTAAGCAAATGTTGACATCTGGGTGTCTCCATCTTTTGACTGTTATAGTCGTTGTGAACATTCATACAAGTCTATTTATGGACATATGCTCCAACTTCTCTTGAGTAAATATCTTGATACAGATATCTATATAAGAAATCATATGATCACTGTATATGCAACTTTGTAGCTTTCTTTTGTTTTGCTTTGGTTTTTCAAGACTGTAGCTCTGGCTATTATGGAACTTGCTTTATAGACCAGGCTGGCCTTGAACTCACAGAGATCCACCTGCTTCTGCCTTCCAAGGGCTGGGATTAAAGGCAAGTACCACCACCGCCCAGTTTTGTATGTGTAACTTTGTGAGGGGAATATAGGGTGCCTGGAGAGATGGCTCAGCAGTAAAGAGTGCGTACAGCTATTTCAGAGGACTTGCGTTCAGTTTTCAGGACTAACCTTGAGCCGCTCACAATCACCTGTAACACGAACTCCAGGGAATCTTTGACTATGCAGTGAGCTTAAGGCTAGCCTGGACTCTGTGATACCATCTCAAAGAATATATATTTGAAAATATTTCCTTTCAGTATATATCTTGAATTATCATTTACTTACCTTGTCTTTTAAAAGACAGAAGATTCTTTTGCTTTTTGAGGGTTTTTTTTTTTATACTGTCCAGGTTGACCTCAAATATTCTTCTGCCTGGCTTCTGTCTCCAGAGTAGTCAGAGTTATAAGCATGCACCACCATGATTGGCTAGCAGAAAAGTTTTTAATCTTAGTGAAGTCTTAGGATTGGAGAGATTCATTATAGATCCCATTAATGGTTTTGGATTTCAAATCATGTAAATGGCTGTCCACCTAAAAAATTAAATTAAAAATTAATTCAGGGGTAGAGAGATGGCTAAATAGTGGCTTGAGTCCCACACACACACAGTGGTTCACAGTGTTTTGTAACTATAGTCCCAAAGCATCTAGCCATCTCTTCTGACCTCCTCAGGTACCAGGCAAGCATGTGGTGCACAGATGTACATTCAGACAAAACACCCATGTACACAAAACAAAGAAATAAATCCAAAGTGTAAGTTCATGTTACTAATGAATTATGCCAACACAAAAATTCATAATGAAATTCAAGTGATCTTATATCGATAATAACTTTTTGGTCAATTAAATTGATACATAAAAGCAAAATACTGCTTTTGGTTTAGAGTAACCACAAAGCCTGGGTTTGATCTCCCACACTATTTTAAAAAAGAGAGAGAGAGAGAGCCAGGCGATGGTGGGCACACCTTTAATCCCGGCATCAGGAGGCAGAGGTAGGCGGATCTCTGTGAGTTTGAGACCAGCCTGGTCTACAAGAGCTAGTTCCAGGACAGGCACCAAAGCTACAGAGAGACCCTGTCTTGAAAAAACAAAAACAAAATGAGAGAGAGAGGGAGAGGGGGGGGGGGAGAGACTGATTATTTTGTCTTTTCAATTGATTATTTTGTCTTTTCACAGGGAATGAAAGAACAGAAACTTAAAGCCAAGCAAAAACGTGACGAAGAGATTGAGGCTGAAAGACAAATTCTTGATTTGGAGGAAGAAATATACAAACAAGGAGAACGGAAGAAGGCCATTGAAAACGCAAAGCAGTATCAGTTTTACCAGACAGAAAGAGTGAAAAGCTTTCATGTACTGTCCAGCTTCTCTCCTATTTATAAATATGTATATCTAGCATGCGTAGTTAACAATTTTCTCTAATTACTTATATACAATATTTTTAAAATAGTGCAATTTTTTTGTAGTCAGGACTTCTTCTCAGTAGAGTTATGAAGGAGCGCGATGCCCAAATTCAGTTTAAAAAGAATTCAGTCAAATCAGACAAGAAATGGGAGGAACAGGTGAGACTCAACGTGGAAAAAGCTATTAAAGAAGAGCAAGAGAAAGAAGAAAAACAGCGCAGAGAAAGATGTGCCCTTGCTGAAGACCATCTGAAGCAGTATGTATACGTGAGCTTTTATGTGTCTTTTTCATAATGGGTATAGCTTTTCCCCTGATTTTGAAATTAATGTGTGCTGAAATACATGGTTTGAGTTCCAGCACCAACATGTTGGCGCACAACCATCCAATTCCAGGCGATTTGATACCCTTTTCTGGCCTTTTCAAACACTACATAGATGTAGTGCACAGACATACATGAAGACAAAATACATACATACAAATCAAATTAAATTTTAAAAAAAGACAGAAAAACAGGGCAGTGGTGGCATACACCTTTGATCCCAGCACAGATAGGCAGAGATAGATGTATCTCAGTGAGTTCAAGGTCAGCCTGGTCTACAGAGTGATTTCAGGACAGGCAGAATTGTTACACAGAAACCCTGTCTCAAAAAAGACAGAAAATAAAGAGAGCTCAGTGGTAGAGTGCTTGCCCAGCATGCATGAGGTCCTAGGCTCAATTCTCAGCACTGTAAATAAAGAAAAAACAAGACCTTAACTAATTCTGACATTCCTAATATATTAATTAGTTTATTTTAAAAATACAATGCTCATTTGCTAGTCATTATTCTAATAATGAAATATAAGGTACATTGTTTTTTCTTTAGAAGTTTTTAATCTGGGAGAGTAAGGTACAGAATGCATAAACAAATTAGGGTATGATAAATACTTTGGAAAATGTATGTAGAAAGGTGTGTGTAAACACAATGGACGCCTGATTCAGTCTAGAGTAGGTTGGCAGGAGAGATGGCTTCCACTTTAATCCTGGACATTGAGTAGAGTAAGCCATGAAGAGTGGGGTAGACTCGGAACAGATGAGACAGGATGGGAAACGGCCCATAAGTGAGGAGAACCAGGTGGTTTGGGGAGCTTGTGTAAGTACAATGGCTATAGTGTAGAGGACCAAGGGAACATTGCAGAGATGAAGTTATAGCCGGGCGGGGGTGGCGCACGCCTTTATTCCCAGCACTTGGGAGGCAGAGGCAGGTGGATCTCTGTGAGTTTGAGGCCAGTCTACAAGAGCTAGTTCCAGGACAGTTAGAGCTACACAGAGAAACCCTTTCTTGGAAAAACAAACAAACAAAAATCGATAATAAAAATAAGCAAAAATAAAAAAAACCCTTCTGACCCCATACTTAGAAAAGTAAGACATAGAGCAGCATTGTAAACAGTGTCTGGGCGCCA